GGAAGGTGAAGGAGAAGGAGAGAGGGAAAGAGAGAGGGGGGGGGAAGACAGACAGATAGACGGAAAGACAGGGAGCGATTCAGGAGAAGCGTACGGTATGTAGAACGGGTAAGAAGGGACGCGGGATCAGCGGCGCAAGATTCGTGAGTCGCAGCATTGCACTTCGGCTTGATTGAAGCTCCATCTCCTTGACCTGTTCCTCTTGGACAATATGCGCGCTTCCTCCCTTGGCATTGATGCATCAAGTGCTTTCACAGACGACCCGCGATATTCGCTACCTGCAAAACACGGCAAATCTTCCCGACCCCCACCTACACAGGCCCCATCACGCACGCAGCCCAGCCACGTGAACAATCGGCAGAACCAGGGGTGCGGTCAGGTGCAACGCGCTTGACACGTCCACACACTTGGCAATAGGGGAGCCACACGACGCAAAACCCCGGTCGTCAAAAAGCACTTCATTGAGCTCCGTAGTTCACTCAATCACACAATAGTTGACTCATGCTTCAAGTAGGGAATTGTCCCTACCGAGCTATTCGTCCCTAACCTTGAATAAAATTGGAATATGTGTGTGGGTTTTGTTTGTGTGTTGTTTTGGGTATTTTTTTAATTTTCAGTTTTGGGGACCCAATATGTAAAGAGATCTGCGCAGGTTAAACGACGTATGCGCCGGCTACAATCATCTTACTGCCGTGGCTTCTACAAAGATGGGGCTAACCTGCCACTTGAGGAAGCAGCGCTCCGGGTGCGGCATGACGGCAAGGTGACGACCGTCCTCGGAGCACAGCCCGGCGATGCCGTCGGGAGAGCCGTTGGGGTTGAACGGGTAAGCCTCGGTAGGGCTGTTGGAGTCGTCAACGAACCTATTTTTCGAAGCGAATACAGGGCCGAGGTGATAAGAAAGCGGCGAAAAATAATCAGTCAAGTGTCCAATTGGCTCTGCATTTGGAGCTGCGCCAGAGAACTTTGCTGTCAAGCTTCCAACCAAAGGGGTAGTTCGTTTGGTTGACGCGACGGGCAATGTCCAGGATGCCCACCGTCGAGTTAACAACACTAGTGACGCGAGACGCACCTTTAATGCCGAATCACAAGCGCCAACCTGCTGTCAAGGCATAAGACAGAAAACATCACCGACTCACCCAACAAACACGTTTCCCACATCTTCCAGCTCAAGACCTAATCCGTTTCGCCCGGCACTCCCCAATCTATGCCGCCCTACATCGATCCACATGCCGTAAACCACGGTGCCTCTCTCTCTCTCTCTCTCTCTCTCTCTCTCTCTCTCTCTCTCTCTCTCTCTCTCTCTCTCTCTCTCCTTCTCGCTACGCTTTACCGAGCTCATTCCCACACCCACGGTTCACGAACCTACAGCCCACCTTAATCTAGGCAGGGCTAGCACACCCAGAAGACCAACCGGTCAAAACACGCAGGGGAAAAAGTAGGGGTCGAGAAAAAAAAGAAAGATCCGATGTGTCATCGGCCCCCAACCAAAAACTCGCCTGACAGGAGCCAGGCCGCCATCCACGGCGCTCTTTCGCGAGGCAGGGTCCGGGAAGTGGGCGCGGCCCTCCCCGTGGGCCACCCACACGCCCAGGCTCGACCCTTCCATGCCGGCCAGGAGCACCGACGGCGACTCCATGATCTACAAGAAAACATCGGCGCACAAAAACGAGGGGAAAAACAAAATCACGGTTGGCTGGCGGCGGGGCGTTGCGATCAAGTCAACAACAACAACAACAATAACAAAGAAGGCAAAACTGGTCGTGTACAGTAGTAGACGCTCGCGGTCTGTTGTTCGCCGTGGTATTTTTTTTTTTTTTTTGTTCTTCACTTCAAATCAGCGCTCACAGCACTAGTGCCGTTTATTCCAACCCGTGGTCACACAGAAGAACCTCTCTCTACCCTCCCCTCCTGCGGTACTTCGCCTTCAATTTTTAATGCGAGAAGAGTTCAGCACTCTCTTCCCTCTGTGTACACACGAACTAGCGCTATCCACTTGGCCAGGAGCGGAAGCGAGAGAAAAACTCACTTTGCAAGAAAAGCTCGCCTACGCCGGGATTCGAACCCCTGACCTGACCTCTAGAAGGTTACGAGGCTACCAACTAGACCAGGGGCGACCGGCTTATGTATGGCATGATCGAGAGCAGCCACGCGTGTCAAGTTCGAGCGACACCGCATACAACGTTCACAACGACCGGCTCCACCCCACCTCTCAATGGATCGTCTTGATATAATTATCCCCCCTAATTCCCGCCGGAAAATAAGAAGTAAGACCCTTGGCACTTGTTTCGAATTGGTTTTTCTCTGTGCCAAGAAATCGGTTGGTTGGAGAATAAATACACAGGCAAGCAAATCAACTATTAATACGTCAAGACGAAGAATTCACAGCGGCCCTCTACCAGGTCCAACACGCGTGTTGTGTCCCGACGGCACGCACTAACTAACCTTTACGGTAGACCAACGGCTTTCGAAGCGGCCACTGGTGTTGTGCACGAACCGCGGCTGCTGCTCTGCCGCCATCCCTTCCGTCTACACGGCAACAACATCCCAGCGAGACCACGAGAGTGCCAAGAGCGCAGGAACAAACGAGTAGCGGGGGCGCGTTGAATCGTAGGGCAAGACGGGTACGCTAGACTAGCGGGGACGCGTTGAATTGCAGGGGAAGGCGGATACACTAGACAAATAGGCCCTCGACCCTACCGATAAGTGTTTTCCTGCAATGTGACCAACATAGTACCGGCCACAAGCACGACAACAAGTACATGGCGCTCTCTGGCGACGCGTCTAAGTTTCGCCAAAGAACAAAATCGGGAACAGCCATCAGTGGACACAACTTGACAGGCAAAAAGGACGACGGTCTGCCAGAAACAGAATCACGCTTCGATAACGTCGCTAATGCGAATCCAGCGTAAGAGCAAACACGCCGCGTGGCATGCTTTCGGACGAGAGACAACGAGTACGATGAGCGACGACAAACAGGCGCACAAGGCAACAAGAAAAAAAAACTGAAACGAAAAAAACAAAATGCTGGTAGGGGTCCATCCACCCGTGCAAGGCACTCGCGCCGCGCATCAGGGCTCGAATTATGACCACGTTTTGACAGGCTACAGTATCCATTCGATCCTCAAGGAGGCAACACTCAACAGCCCCCGCGACACCAGGTGCCGCGGCCAAGCTGAACCGGAACGAGCATCTGCTGACCGACAAGTAGGCCCTGCACAGTAGAGGTCCCAGTATATACGGCGGGTGACCAGGTAGTGGCGCGCGGTGTACAGTAGCACGGGTGAAACGGAGCTCTCACCGATGGAACAATCAAATCGTTCTGTACTCGGGTGTCCCGATTGAAAGGCTTGAAAAACCGCTTGGCGACTACATGCCCGCGCACTATACAGTGGCGTCTACTGTCCTCGGGAGCCGACATTTCAAGCCACATGCCAAACCTTGGGGATCCAACCGAGCAGGGCCATGAGCTGGCAGCCGTTGCAAACGCCCAGGGAGAACGTGTCGCTCCTAGCCTTGAACGCCTCGAATTGCTCCCAAACCTTTGTCGGAGGAGAGGATAAGGGTTGCGGGTGGGGGTCGACAGAGAGGGAAAGGGAGGGCATTCCGAGTTTTCACGCTTGGCGCTGCTTTCACATCAAAGCTGGGCCAGGAGGCCGTTAACCATATACGCACTCTTTTCGGGAAGACAAGGACGATTTGGACACGAATGTGAATCCCTATGCCCAAGCAGTGGTGTGCGGCAACACACCACCCGGGCCGATTTATCGCTCGACACCGACACAACCTATTTGTCGGTGCATTGTCGATCGACCACGATCGTCGGGTTAACAATACGAGCGACGCCACAACTTCCAATCAACGACAAGAAACCCCTTGTTTTTTTTCCGTGGCCATCGTCCCATATACATCAGGAAATACGACGATGGCGACGACGACTGAATACACTACTCCAAGAAACCAGACGATTAAAACTCGACCCACAAGGAGCAACAACAGCACACCATACACCAACCTTCGGGTTGAATTTGATGGTGGCGGCCCAGCCCTTCGCCGAGTCCAGCACGTCGGCGTAGCTGAAGCCGCCCACGAACACCACCCCCTGGAAGGCATCCAGGGTGATGGTGCCTGCAGACCAAGCAAGAAGCAAAAGCCCGACACGCGAGCAAGGGATGAAAAATAAAATATAGGTGCGTTACGATGCACGTTTGGAACGACGGGGGGTCTCCGAAAGGGGGGCCGTAGGGGAGGGGGACGTACGTATGTGATGGGTCTTGCGGTGAGCGTGCGGGGATAGGTTCGTGTCGTATGTGGCGTCACGGTATCGCGAGCTTCTGTCAGAGTGACCAGGCCCTTCGAGATAAAAATCACACTCCGCAGGAGGAGGGCCCCATGCATCAACCAAACACACCCGACTTCGTCCAAATCAGCCCCTAACAAAACCAACTGCGCCAAGCCAAACACAGGCAGGCTGTTTTAAGCACCTTGGAGAAGGTCGTTCATGTTGACGTCCCAGGCCTCTAGTCCCGCCTCGTGGAAGGCCGACAGCATCTCTCTGTCGCCGTTGCTTCCCTCTTGCCGCAGCACGCACACCTTGGGCCGCTGCGGCGAAAAAAAAAAAAAACGGAAACACTGAAACCAACCCAAGGCGTGGTGCGTCAGGAAAGCACAGGCACCAGCGCGAACCTTGGCGTCAGCCTCCACGCCGTACGATTACAATCGAAACCCAACCAAACCGAGGAGAAGGCACCCACGTCAACAGCCCGGGTCGAATAGTAGCCTTTGCGAGGGTGTGAAGATTAAGATTGGTTATAGTAGGGGTTACGGGTTCTAGGTTAGGAACTTTCCCTCTCTACTTTACATGTAACCGTGACCTAAGGAGCAAGCTGGAAGAGGTAGGAGAAGAAAGAATTAGGGGCAAGGATTAGGGGCCAGTAGCCTTTGCGAGGGTATTAAGCTTGGATTTAGTGGGGGGTACGGGGTCGGGTTTTGGGTAGGGTTACTA